CCCCCCCAACAAATCCCTTTGGGGAGAAGTGATACCCTTGTGTGTGTAACAATTAGCTCAGACAATAAAAATAATTGGAAAATCAGTTGGAATTTCTGAGTTTTTAATTACGTTTAATTTTGTACTAAGCCGTAAAATTACAAATGCCCCTCAATTAAACACTCGCCTCTTGTAAAGCGTTTAACAACAATTATTCCTTAATCAGTCTGAATGTGAGTCACAAATGGCGCTTTTCCACATCAAAGGGACGTCCTTCGACGTTACCTTTTAGTCATAAGTAAGAGGATTAATTCCTATAATTAGAGGGATAAATATGTGCATAAATATATCTCTCACTCTCTCCTTCAAAAAAAGAGAAGAACAAAACACTTTCACTCTGTGTGAGACGTGGCCGGCTCTGGTAGGGTAAGTGTTTTTAATTGTCCTCCTTTGCCCGAAGTCCCTTTGCTGGCGGGAGACTGGAACCGAGGTGACGCCAGCGGGAAGCGCAGAGCCGCAAAAGGAAACACGCACGCACAGACACAGAGACGCACTCGCGGGTCGGGCCGGAGGTACAAAGCCCGGGTCCTAGGTCCCCACCGACTCTCGGGCGATCCTCCAAGACAATCACCCGCCTCCCACCCTCGCCCCTGCTGGGCGCTGCAAGAGTTCCCTTTCACGTTGGTCCTCTTGTCCGGAGGAGCAGGGTCCCTGCCCTAAGCCGAAGCTCCAGGTGGACTCTTCAGGCTACAAATAAAAATTGAGCATGACCTTTTAAAACTCCTGTGTGAATATCTCATTTACCTAATGACTTTATGTCACCTAGGAAGAAGGTCAATTTCCTCTTAACCTTTTCCCCGCTGCTGCAGTAAGCATTCTTCCCTAATCAATGGTGGCTGGAATAATCAATTCCCATTTTATGATCGCTGACAAACTCAATCTCAGGGCGGGGTGTTAGCGCGGCGGGACTCGCTCGGGCCGGGACAGAGGTCTCTCTGGGTACGCCCAGCTCCGCCCGGCGCCAGGGGAAGCTGCTCTCTCTTCCGTCGAGTTCAGAGACCTTGGCAAACTTCCCTCCCCCAACCGCCGGCGTGACTTCTGAGTTGTCACTAATCCGAACCTGATATTCACCAGAGCTCCCTTCGGTCACCGACAACGCTCCCCGCTGCTGCTGGGGCCTCCCACCCGCCCCTCCTCGGCGTGTTTTCATTTCAAAGTCTGCAGGCAGGGATTGCCCCGACCCAAAGCAGCGTGTGTGTGTGTGTGTGTGTGTGTGTGTGTGTGTGTGTGTGTAAGAGAGAGAGAGAGTGTTTCATTTGAATTTTTAAAATTATTTTTGCCTTTTCTTCAGCGTGGGTCTCTCAGCTCTTTTTCTCTGTCTCAGCCCAGCTAACTTTGCATAAACAAAGCAACAACAGAAGCTCAGAGTGGGTAAATTCGTGTGGGAAATGAAGGCAACTGGTAGAGTTCTCTCTCTCTCCTTCCCTCTCCCCTTTCCTATCTTTCCTTTTCTTCCTCTCTCATGTTTATTTCTCTTTTCTTATCCTTTGCCTCCATTTATTTTCTTTCTTTCTTTCTTTCTTTCTTTCTTTCTTTCTTTCTTTCTTTCTTTCTTTCTTTCTTTTTTTTAAGTTTATTAATTTCGGGAAGGAGAGAGAGGTGCTATCCCCAACAGGGTCTTGACCCAGGGAGATTCACTGCCACCCACAAGCAACCAGGGCCATGGACACTGGAGCAGTGTATTCAAGGTCTCCTGTTGCAAATCCCGAACTTGCCTCTAGGGGGCAGCCTCACAGAGAGAGGAGTTTTACCTCTGGGGCATCAGGCCCCACTCCTCCTCTGCTTCTCCCCTCAATTTCTTTCAACCTGAAAGATAGGTTTGTCAGATACCACTTTCCCTCTATGTTAAATTTCACTGCCCTTCCTCAGTCTGGGAAATTCCTGGGTAAATTATTGTCAAAGCCAATTGGAAAACTAATTTGAGGTAAATTCACTGCTTTTTAAAATTTTTCTTTCCATCTTTGGAGGACCTAAATATGAGCCTCTCCCTCATTTCAAGCTCTCATAAAATGGAAATTGAATTCTACACACACAGGTACTGTTTGAAGATGGGTTCTCTTAACACTGGTTCACCACTGGCTACTGGAAATTCTTTTTCCAATTTCACTCTAATCCCATTTTTACTCACTTCCAAGATATAAGCTCCTGTTGATTATAGGGTTCCATGGCAGGAAAATCGCTTTTATTGTTTCTTTCTTTCTTTCTTTCTTTCTTTCTTTCTTTTTTGGAGAGTTTTTTGCTATAGGGCGCATGTGCTCACCAGAAACCAGAGAGAGACAGAGATTAGAAAGCGAGAAATCACTCCCCACGGGGGATGGCTACACCACAGTCCCTTCTCCTCCATTCTCCTCTTGGGATCTTGGGCACGCAGGCACACATGCCCAGCGTGAGTTTAAGCCACCAGGTCCCGGACTCAACCCATAGTCGACTACATGGGAGTCAAGCGACATAGCCATTACACTAACTGCTGGTCCCACTTTTATTGTTTTTGAAAAGGTGTACCATACCCAGGATTTTAGTGTCCTTATTAGGAATCAATCTCAGTGTTATATTGACTAGTTAGTTAAAACTGAGCCCCAAACTAAACTTTCTGTCCTGAGAGTGTTTTCTTGGGTCTGCCTGGAGCTATGAAGATACACTTTGAAAAAGTAACTAAAATGTCCTATTTCTCAACTCATGGTACCTTCATACTCGTAGGCAGACTTCTACTAAAATTGGAAAGCTTTTCAAACATAAACCAAAATCTTTTTCACCTTTTATCTTCTACTCTGCTATAAAACAAAATGGCATTAAATTCTAGGTGAGGCATTTCTGGGCAAGAATACTCACTGGTCATCCACAAGAGCCTCCTTAGTCCTGTTAGTATCAGAGATAGCTGTTACTAACCGTCACCACCACTCCCTGGCCTGTCTGAGACTCAAGATTCTTTGCTTGCTTTGGGCCTGACAGTGCTGGAGTATGGCCACCCATAGGCAATGATAGATAGCAGGCCAGGTTCAGGATCCAATCTGGGATTGAGAGGGCCCAGTTCCCCTCTAGCTTCCTACCAGGAACTACTTTCACAACTCTTGCTGAGTTAGATTCAGCATTTAAATGAGGGCTGAGGGCTGGGTCAGCCTGAATCACAGTTTTCTAACACCCTGATTTTCAGATTCATTTCATATTCCCAACAATAGAGTTACAGGCTTTTTTGGAGCACATCCTGTTTGTAGGTCAGGAAGTGCTTTTATGGGCAGAGTTTCCCATTTCGAAGAGTCCTGAGTGGGACTTCTATCTCTATTTGACAGAAGAGCAGACAGATTGGGGATGGGCTCCTTGACCTCAGATAATGATTACAGTCTTCCCCTCTTAAGCAGATTTAATTCTCACACAAAGAGTAATTAACAACCCCTGAGTACTCACTCTGTGAGAATAGCCTTTCCTTTTCTGATCTTAAGGGCCCTCATAGGGATATTGAAGAATCTATTTTATACTCATTTTTAGTTTCACATCATTTAAATTGCTTGTATTCTGCTCATTTCTTCCCCAGTCTACTGGAACACATTTAGTATAGACTTGGTCTGTGTTCTAACCACAGCACATGAAATCAGAAAAATCCAATCATCAGTTTGTTCTGTTCCCTACTCTCAATCCTTGATTCCAAGCAAAGCTGTATATTAAACTGCTCTTTGCAAAAAGAAAATTTTTTTTATTAAATAATTATTTGATGTAAGTCCATTTATTCATTCCATTTATTATTATTATTATTTTTTTTAAAATTTGATCAGAGAGAGAGACACAGAAAGAGAGAAGACTTCTACTAAAATTGGAAAGCTTTTCAAACATAAACCAAAATCTTTTTCACCTTTTATCTTCTACTCTGCTATAAAACAAAATGGCATTAAATTCTAGGTGAGGCATTTCTGGGCAAGAATACTCACTGGTCATCCACAAGAGCCTCCTTAGTCCTGTTAGTATCAGAGATAGCTGTTACTAACCGTCACCACCACTCCCTGGCCTGTCTGAGACTCAAGATTCTTTGCTTGCTTTGGGCCTGACAGTGCTGGAGTATGGCCACCCATAGGCAATGATAGATAGCAGGCCAGGTTCAGGATCCAATCTGGGATTGAGAGGGCCCAGTTCCCCTCTAGCTTCCTACCAGGAACTACTTTCACAACTCTTGCTGAGTTAGATTCAGCATTTAAATGAGGGCTGAGGGCTGGGTCAGCCTGAATCACAGTTTTCTAACACCCTGATTTTCAGATTCATTTCATATTCCCAACAATAGAGTTACAGGCTTTTTTGGAGCACATCCTGTTTGTAGGTCAGGAAGTGCTTTTATGGGCAGAGTTTCCCATTTCGAAGAGTCCTGAGTGGGACTTCTATCTCTATTTGACAGAAGAGCAGACAGATTGGGGATGGGCTCCTTGACCTCAGATAATGATTACAGTCTTCCCCTCTTAAGCAGATTTAATTCTCACACAAAGAGTAATTAACAACCCCTGAGTACTCACTCTGTGAGAATAGCCTTTCCTTTTCTGATCTTAAGGGCCCTCATAGGG